TCTGTCTATCTATCTATCTAACTATCTATCTATCTATCTATCTATCTGTTTGTCTGTCTGTCTGTCTATCTATCTATCTGTTCATCCGTCCGTCCGTCCCATCCATCCATCCATCCATCCATCCATCCATCTATCTATCTATCTATCTATCTATCTATCTATCTATCTATCTATCTATCTATCTATCTATCTATCTATCTATCTATCTGTTCATCTGTCCGTCCATCCATCTATCTATCCATCCATCCATCCATCCATCCATCCATCCATCCATCTATCTATCTATCCATCTATCTATCTATCTATCTATCTATCTGATTATTTATCAGTACTAGTAGTCTTTTTGTACCTGCAGGGCCTTAAATTTATTCATAATGACACAAAAAAGACACGGAGGATGCGCTGATGTTTTGAGCAAATGCTTTTGTGACGTCACGCCGTTTTCTTCAAGTGCAGCCGAACGTAAAGCTTCACTCCGCCGTTGAAGATTCTCACACACTCACACACACACTCTCTCTCAGAGCAGAAGTCAAACACACAGCACCGCTTCATTCCTCTCCAGGATACGTAAGAAACCGCTCGGAAATTACCTGTGAGGGTCGCAGGAGGATTTATCAGAAGTGAAAACAAAAGGTGAGTGAGTTATTTCATTAATCTGACCTTCAGTCCTTCACGCGCGCGTGCTCGTCTGTGTTTGCTATTTGAGGCAGGTTGAGAATAACAGTTTCAAACTCACAGAAAGATGCGGTTTTAATCGTTTTCTGACGTAAAAGTTGTTGTTGGAGATCTTACATTTAAAAAGGGTAGTGATTTTATTCTTAAAAGTGGCTTTTCTGTTTAATAATCGCGCGTAAAGTCGTATGACAGGGACGTCAAGTACTCTTTGTGTACACTAGCATCACCAGGTTAATGAGCAGTTTATATGTCAGTGAGGCTTTTGTGTTTTGTATCAGTTTTTATGTTGAAATTTAAAGCAAACTTGTGTTTTTGGTAGGGTACATGTTCGCTGTTTATCGATTTGTTTTCGCTAGTTCATTTTATGTGTTCCTGTTGTACGATTTTAGCTATAAATATATCTTCATTTATAAATAACCCCTTTAAAAATAGTAACGTTAACGGTTAAGATAAATTTGGATCATTATTTAATCGTTGTTGGTGTCAGCTGAAGTTAACAGAGGTAAAGTTGGTTATTGAGGCAAAGTTGGTTTTATTTTCGCACATTCAGACTTACATCTCAATAATAGTATTTCAGAAAAGAATTATTTGCCAATCCTAAAGAGTGAAATCATACTAACAGCCAATGGCTATCAAAGTACAACACGTTCAGTGGTGCTAATGTTGTTTTGAAGATAGTGTTGAAGCCATATTTACACGGATTTTCAGTCTGAATAATCAAAGTACCAAGGTAAACAATATATGTCACAAGTTGTCACTAAACGAATTTGTGAATATAATACCAACTTTGCCACAATAAATCATATTAGCAGCCAATGACTATCAAAGTACAACAGTGTTCAGTCAATTTAATAGTGCTAATGTTGTTTTAAAGTCATACACGCAATTTCAGACAGAATATTCAAAGTATAATATAGGAACATTCACAAATTGTCACTGTTCAAAAATGAACAATCGTGCGAATATAAAACCAACTTTACCTCAGTAAGTTGGTTTTATATTCGCACATTCGTTCATTTAGCAGTCTCTGTATTGTTTACCATGTTACTTTGAATATTCGATCGGAATTAGCATGCAAGTATGACTTCTGAACAACATTAACACTATCTAATTCCCCGTGAACAATGTTGTAGTTTGATAGTCATTTGCTGCCTATATGTTTTCTCTATTTAGAATTTGCCAAGAATACTTTTATGAAATTATATTATTAAGGAGAATGTCTATATATCGGAATATAAAACCAACTTTACCTTTTTGAAGTTAACAGCAGTGGAGAGGAAGTCATGCACTGTAAATTCATGTTTGTATTGAGGTATGTTGGTTTTACATTCGCACCTTTGTTGTGAAACAACTTGTAACATGCTCCGGATAGTGTTTACCATGGTACTTTGATTATATGGTCTCAAATCACATGCAAGTATGACTTTAAAACAACATTAGCAATATTTAGGCTGCTAATATGAATCACTTTTCAGAATTTGCAAACAAACGAATTCTGAAATTATATTATAAAGGAGAAAATGCGAATGTGTGACTATAAAACCAACTTTACCACCTTTAAAAGGTGTTTTGTACTGGAGTTAATGTGTGTTTTGGATATTCAGTCTGATTTATTAATCAAATTAACTCAGTCATGTTTAATTTGTACAATATGTCACCAGTTATAACTGTGGAAATGAGAAAATATGGTTGAAATATTGATGTTGTTCCTGTTATATGATGTTACAGAATTCATGAGTCTTGCCCACAATATACGACTGCTCATTTATGTGTCCTTTTTATTTATTGTTGTTAGACAAAGTCGTTGATTCTGTAAAGGAAATGGGCTGTTTTCTGATGTCAAAAGGGTTACTGATGTGTCTATTAAAATGCATAGTTTTGATGCTTAAAAACAAGACAAAAAATTAGGGCCAGACAGAATCTGCGGACATTTTTTGGCTATTTCTGCACAAAATTGTGAGAATTTTGTAAAAAAATCTTAAGATTTATGCGAAACATTTTTTGGGAGTATCGTAACTACAACCTTAATATATGAAATAAAAAGTACTACCTTTTAAACTTGTATTTAATGTTTAATGTAATTACATTCACTTTATTTGGTAAACAAAGCAAGTCTCTCATGTAATATCTCTACTAAAAGACAGAAAATATTACTCTACAAACTGTATTGTAAATAAATCATATTAATATTTTCATATTAGTCAATAATATTACTGACATTAATTCAAAAACTGAATAAATATGAATTTACACACATTTACAGAAGTAAATAAACAATTATGGGGTAAATTGATGCGGGCGCAGATTCCATGTGGGCCTTCTAAAAATATATATTTTTTGTCTGTGATGTTATGGTTTGTGGATCAGAAGGTTACTGTTCTCATACACGATTAAATGTTTCTGTTGCTGATTAGTTGAGAGGAACATGTTTGCACCTATTAGTTGTCAAAATAAATTAAGGAATTTAAAGCATTAAGTACTTATTTTTTGCACGTCTACCAGTAAAATAACATTGCTAATATCTCCGCTTGTATGTGTAGTAAAGTAAATTGAAGTATTTACTTTTAAAAATCTTTTTGGATAAGTTTTTGGAAAAGTTACCTTATTATCTTGTTCATATTACCTAGATTTATTTGACTTTTGATATGTAACTGCTCTCTATTTAAACTCTTGAAATTATCTTTATAGTCATGTTTACTTGCGTTAAGTGACATTAAGTCTTATAATTTTGAATATAATTTAGATTCAATTTTGTGAGTGAGACAGTTGTCACTGGCTTAAAATTAAACGATAAACTATTTTAAATGAGCCATTGACAATAATAGGAATTACCTTTTATGGTTACCAAAATGTGGTCATTTTTCCTCAGCATTTTTATTTTTCTTCTAGATTTTCAGATTGAGTTTGTCTGATATATCCAATGTAATTCTCTCCTTCTCTATTTGTCTGCTCCATTTTTTACCTCTTTCCCTTTTTCAATGCAAGACGCCAGAGATGCGAGCGTCTTCCTAACAGCATGACATTGTGCTGTAAGCCACAAGAGATCCGTGAAATGAGCTTAAATCTCTCCGCATTTGAGCTCTCAATATACCAGCTGTGAATGTAGTCTCGACACCGAACACACTGCTGTGTAAGACCAGTTTCAACACAGAAGAGCTCAAATAATCTAAAATGCATTAGGAATCGATTCATTTTTGAATTGGTTCTGAGCAAACTGATTCTCCAGAATGAATCCACAATTGGGCAGTGCTATATATTATTTGAGTGTGTGAATTCTCAAAATAGTCATATCATACTGGAGGTTTTGTGGTGTTGAGGAAGAACAAAAATATGACGTTTGCTGTTTGTATAAACTACTTCAGGCATGTGATCAGCTGAGGACATAAAAGAAGGAAGACGAGAGCCCAAGGAAAAAGAGAGCTAAAAAGAGTTCATCACTTTCACTTTCCCTGTCCTTCAGCGTAGTCCCTGCTTTGTAATAATTAATTATTAAATATATTTGAAAAATAGCCTAATTTACACTTTCAGGTATTAAATTGAGTGGTGTAAAGTAGCAAATTACAAATACTCAAATGACTGTAGTTAAATAGTTTTTCTCAGGAATTGTACTTTACTAAGTAGTTTTAAACATTTGTACTTTTACTTTCCCTTGAGTACATTTTTAGTGCAGTATTGGTACATTTACTCCACTGCTTTGCTTCAACCTGCCATCACACTCACTCACCTGCAGTACCTGCAGTACTTTGATTTTTCTAATCTCCATAGACCAGGAAAAAAATATTCCTGTGATTCCTGTCCAATCATATCGCACACAGAAGTAAAGAGGTAAATCGCATCACAATGAATTACTCCAAGACATGGGCAATTTATATTGAAGCTAAATATTTGTAAGCAGAGAGTTTATAAATAAACGAAGAATGAGTAAGTGGATTAATGAGTGAGTGAATTAATGAGTGAGTTGAGTGATTGGGTGAATTAACGAATGAGGGAATAAATGAGTGAGTAGATTAATGAATTAGTGAGTAAGTGAACTAGTGATTGAGTGAATTAATGAGAGAGTGAATTGAGTAAGTGAATTAATAAATGAGTGAATTAATGAATTAGTGAGGGAGTGAATTAATGAGTAAATTAATGAATAATGAGTGAGTTAATTGAGTAAATTAATGAGTGAATTGAGTAAGTGAATTAATGAGTAAATTAATGAGTGAGTGAATTAATGAGTGAGTGAGTGAGGGAATTGAGTGAGTGAATTATTGAATGAGTGAATATAAAGGAGTGAGTGTATTAAAGAATTATTTAGTTAACTAGTGATTGAGTGAATTAATGAGAGAGTGAATTAATGAGTTAGTGAATTGAGTAAGTGAATTAACGAATTAGTAAATGAGTGAATTAATAAGTCAGTAAATTAATGAGTTAATTAATGAGTGAGTGAATTAATGAGAGTGAATTAATGAATTAATGAGTGAGTGAAATAATGAATGAGTGAATAAAAGAGTGAGTATATTAATGAATTATTGAGTAAACTAGTGATTGAGTGAATTAATGAGAGAGTGAGTTAATGAGCAAGAGTAAATTAATGAATCAGAGTAAGTGAATTAATAAATGAGTGAATTAATGAATTAGTGAGGGAGTGAATTAATGAGTAAATTAATGAATAATGAGTGAGTTAATTGAGTAAATTAATGAGTGAATTGAGTAAGTGAATTAATGAGTAAATTAATGAGTGAGTAAATTAATGAGTGAGTGAATTAATGAGTGAGTGAGTGAGGGAATTGAGTGAGTGAATTATTGAATGAGTGAATATAAAGGAGTGAGTGTATTAAAGAATTATTTAGTTAACTAGTGATTGAGTGAATTAATGAGAGAGTGAATTAATGAGTTAGTGAATTGAGTAAGTGAATTAACGAATTAGTAAATGAGTGAATTAATAAGTCAGTGAATTAATGAGTAAATTAATG